GCCACTAGATCCCGATGGGACACACTCTCTGTTTCTCTGGTCATCTGGTTAGTTTCCTAGGTCAGGTCTTGTCTCTGTTCTTACATGCCTGGGTCTGGTGAGACAGCAGACATTTGGCAGGTCCCTTCCCCGCAATGGTGAGGAGGGTGAGTTCTCATGTCATGTGTAGAACATATATGTGGTATTCTAAGAAAGTCTATTACACGAACTTGCCGGAATGAATTTGAAAATCACCATCTTCGTTATCCACAAATGAACTACAAATGTCCTTTTAAAATTATTATTTAATCTCAGCTTCTAAGGAAATGAATAGCTTTATACTTAAAGAAAATAAACATAGATCATATATGTGTATACATACACATTTTTCTCTCAGGGGACTTATGTGGGCCTAGAAAATTAAAACAGTAAAAATATATAATAAAGACAAATGTTAACAGTGTAATGACTGAAAGTTAATTTAAAAATCAAATGTTAATTTTAAATATTAAAAGTTAATTTAAATATTAAATTTTTTTTTTTTTTTTTTTTGGTTTTTCGAGACAGGGTTTCTTTGTGTAGCTTTTCGCCTTTCCTGGAACTCACTTGGTAGCCCAGGCTGGCCTCGAACTCACAGACCCGCCTGCCTCTGCCTCCCAAGTGCTGGGATTAAAGGCGTGCGCCACCACCGCCCGGCTAAATATTAAATTTCATAAAATTATTAAATATTAAATCATAACAGTTCGAGTTCATAGAGAAATGTGATGGCTATTTTTGTTTATTAGCTTGACCACATCTGGCATTAACTAAAACCCAAGCTGCTGGGTACAACTGTGAGGGATGTTTCTTTTTTCTTTTTTTTTATTATTTTATTTTTTTCTATTATCAGCTTGATACATTACAAATTCTTATCCTAATAGTGAAATGTTTCACTGAAGCTTACGCAGTGATTGAGTAAAACCAAAAGAGGAATGTTTCTTGGTTGAATTATTTGAAATGGAAGACCCACCCTAAATCCAGATCTTTTGGGGTGGGAAGATTTACCTTAAATCTTTACCACAACTTTTGGTGGCCATCTATATAAAGGACATGGAAGAAGGAAGCTTTCTCTTTGTCTGCTCGCCCTCACTCTGGCTGGCAACTCCATTCCTTCCAATGGCATTAGAGCCTCCTTCTTCAGGATTCTGGTGCATGCTGAAGACCAGCTGAGACATTCAACCTCATGGGTTGAGCTACAGGATTCTTGAACTTTCCATTGAGAGACAGCATTTTAGGAAAATCAGACCATAACCTGTAAGTCACTCTAACAAATTCTGTTTGTGTAGCTACATTTTCATTCCATCACTTCTGTTTTTCTAGAGAACCCTGAGAAATACAAGAGGCAAGTTCAAAATAAATATTCTTACGGGGAACAAATCACAGATTTTAGTGTAAACTTGCTAAGTCAGCAGAGGACAGATTGCTCAGCAGGCACAGACCTCTTCAGCGCCAAAAACAAATAAACAGCATCCAGTGCAGACCAGTCTAGGCTTCCAGGACACTGACCTCTACTTCTCCCAGGGCATTTCTTGCTTTGTTAAGTAGGAATTTTATCTAAATGAAGAGACACGCTTGTCTCTCCTTCCAGACTAAATTCTTAAGAGCAGGGTCCAAGACTTATCAGATCTGTACATTCTTTCTCCTTTGTGCTTTGAGCTTAGAATTCTGCTCATGCAGGGTAGTGGTGGCGCACGCCTTTAATCTCAGCACTCAGGAGGCAGAGCCAGGTGGGTCTCTGTGAGTTCAATGCCAGCCTACAGAGCGAGATCCAGGACAGGCACCAAAACTACACAGAGGAACCCCGTTTTGAAAAACAAAACAAAACAAAAGAATTCTGCTCATTTGTTTCATGATTGTGTTCATTTGAGTGAAGAGAGTAACAGGTGAAAGCAGGACATAGACACATGTGTTAGAGATGTGGACATGATATCTTTACATTATTTCCTAGCAGTCCCTTCATATTTCCTAGGACAGTCTTTCTTCCATTCTTTCTTTTGACAATGCTCCTTGTATTAAATATTATAAAACACCCAAGGTGGAGAGCAGCTAAATCTGGTCTTCATATTCCTGTGCAAGCATGCTCATATGCTCATACACAAAGAAAACAGATAACCATACGTATCTAGAGAAGGAAAAGAAGACTGTAACCCGGAACTAGGTCAGGATGTTGGGAAAATGGAGCAGGAAGGAGGCATTTCAAACCACAGATATTTGCCTCAGTGTATTGCTGTGATAGACATCATGACCAGGTCAGCTTATACAAGACAGCATTTAATTTGGGGGTAGTAAGGTCCATGACCATCATGGTAGGAAGCATGGCAGCACGTAGGCAGACATGGTGCTGGAGTAGCAGCTGAGAGCTCACAGACAATCCACAAGCATGAGGCAAAGAGGGAGAGCTAACTGGCAACGGCTTGGGCTTTTGAAACCTCAGTCTCTCCCAAGCCCTGCCAGTAATACACCTCCTCCAACAAGGCCACGTCTTTTAATCGTTCCCAAACAGTTCCTCCAACTTGAGACCAAGCATCCAATTGTATGGGGAACAGAATAGTCAAAGCATTCCTGGATTTAGGAAAGGTGCTCCTAATGCTCTGTTCAATTAAGTGTAAACGCCCCAACTTCTGGGTCTGTCATTCTGTTTAAGGTCAATAATTCTTCATGTCGATTATATCTTATTTTAAAGCTAAATTTGTTTCTGTATTTTGGAATAAGAGTGATATAAACTGGGCAGGGAATCAAATACATTTTGTTGCTATTGTTTCAAGACAGGGTTTTTCTGTGCAGCCCTGGCCATCTTGGAACTTGCTCTGTTGGCCAGGGTGGCCTCTAACTCAAGAGATCTGCCTGCCTCTGTCTTCCAAGAGATTAAAGGTGTGGGACATCATGCCCAGCAGCAAATTAGAATTACAGGCAGTGGTGAGCTGTCATATGCTACTTGAGATTGAACCCACGTCCTCTGGAAAAGCAGCCAGTGCTCTTACCCACTGAGCCATCTCTCAGGCCTCAAATATACATCGACCAAGGAAATTAAGGAAAATTATTTAACCAGCAGAAGAAATTTTGCACATCTGTGGTGGCTACACTACTTTAAAGTCTGTAGAATTTTGTGAAGTATGGAAAGCTGAGGCAGTCATTTCTGGATAGTAGGAACGCAGTCAGTCCTGTTCACTGCTGCATTCCCAGCACCTAGTCCAATGCCTGGAAATGTAATTATCAGGCATTCAACCAGTCTGTACATTGACACTAACCTACTCCACAGAGAGTGGTTTCCTGTAGGATTAATGAAAATATCCTCTAAAGAAAAGCAAACAGAAAACTCCAGAACTAAGATAAGAAGTTCTGGGATGGCAGTCTTAATCCTTTCAGCAAGGAAACAACAGATATTCTTGGAATTTATGCAACCCAGGAAGGGTAATGCCTATAGTGTAGTCTGAAAAACACTCACTTTAGAAAAGCTTTATATAAAAATGTTTTCTAAATGGATGACTTCACATATGGCTCTCAAAACTGCAATTCTGGCTGTGCTGTCATGTTTCCGAAGTAGGTTTGGAAGTCAACCAAACCAGGGTGTACACTTGTCTACATGCCAATGACCTACTTAAAAATGGACAACTGATGGGTGATTATGAAACCAAAGAAAATTCTAGGATGAAGATGTTTGTAAGAACAAAACTGTGAATGGGCAGCTTATAAATGTCAAGATGAAACACAGCTTCTGTAGATATTTTCAGTTATGAACTCTTTAAAGGAGGTTATCAGTCTACAATCCAGAGTGAACAATTATAGAATTTACAGACATGCGCGCGCGCATGCACACGCGCACACACACCCTATTTCTGTGTCCACCGAGAACTTCCTTGACATGGTGGGATTTGTTGGCACATGCCTGTAGTCCCAACACTGAGTATGCAGAAACAGGCAGATCTCTGAGTTTGAGGCCAGCCAAGCTAGAGTGACACCCTGTCCCAAAACAAACCAAAACCATAAAAACCCAGGAAATATTTTTGGTACACCTAGAGAGCTGAGTACTGGGCTCTGTGTTACATAATTTTCATGGTATGTAATGAGGTAGAAATCCATATCATTACCTTAAAAGCAAAGCAGTCCAGGTTCAGGGTAGTAGAAATGTGTTTGAATCTGTGCCCTATCATCCCTCAATCTCTCAGTATAGGGGACTGGATTCCATGCATGATAGGCAAGCACTTTGCTACTCTGCCATATCCCTGCCACTCATTTGCTCAGAGCGGTCCTGAATTCACTCTTTAGGCACACAGGCAGGCTTTGAACTCGTGATCTTGCCTCAGCCTCCTGAGTAGCTGGGATGACAGGCCTGTGCCACCAACGGCCAACTCTCTTGGCTGTTTTTACAGTCGTAGAAGACTAGCTAGCACTAACCCTAACATACAGTTTCTAATATTCACCTTCTAACCCAATGCCAATAGAATGGAGTCAAGCATGAAAGTCAACATGATGTCTGTGGACATTCACTATGTACAGAAAGAATTGGTACTGATGGGAAGGTCACAATGCCAATGCTTAGAATTCTCCTTCCACTCTCGCTGCAGATTTTCAGGAGGAACTCCCCCTGGAGAATCCCTTGGGAAATCTAACATGATGTTTACTACCTAGTGGGTGACTAGAGCTAGGTGGATGAGGAGAGAGGGAGTGTTACTACTCAGGGCCAAGAAAAGCAATTTTAAGACCCCACTGTCACTAAAAATATCTAAACAAAACACAGACTCCAACAGGAACCCAGCACCCATGGTAGAAGCTGTAATACAAACACATTTCTTGTATAAAATAGTTCAAATGCTAACCGCATAAGACAAAGTATTGAAAGTTCCGCTTTGTACCAACACGATTACAGGCTTTCTATAGGGACTAATTCTATATGTTAAGTCTGCACCTCCATAAAACCAAGACTAAAGTAGTATGGGTCTGGATGTGTACAACGATGCCATGAGAAAACAATCAAGAACAAGACAAGTCTATTATTTTCTTTATATACAAAAACAAAGGCCCAAAATATGGTTTGTTGAAGTAGCTATCAACAGGACGTCAGCTGATTTCACATTTGCTTTGGTCAACACAGCCTGGGAACAGCAGTCGGCCCGCTCCTACGAGCACAGAAACCCACTGACAGGGCTGCCTTCAGTACAGAACAAAGAGCTTTCAGGAAAAATAATTAATTTTAAACCAAAACATTTTACCAATAAATAAGAAAATTTAAAAGGTAGCATCCCCATCTGACAATCTTGGGCATAACACATACACCAATTTGGAAAATAAAATTTTTCTCACAATAGTAGTAGCAGGTGATAATACAGCAAGCCATGTAATGAAATTTTTAATGTAATTTTTTTTTTAAAAAAGAAAATCTTAAGAACCAAACATGAACTTTAAAAGTTGGCACTTTCTACAACTGTACATATCCTAAAACAATCGTCTAGTACTTTCTTACAGAACATAATTCAAACTCTGTTGGCGTTTCAATATATTCCTAAGGAAATAGTTAAAATCACATTTAGTATGCTGGATCTTAAACAAAGTTCATAATTCTGATTTATGGCTATGAAAAGGTAGTCAGCCTCTATAGAAAACCGTAGCCAGTGATAAAACATACTTGGAAAACATAAACATTTGGTCTGATGATCTTTAACTTTAGTATCAGTTAAGACAGTCTGATGTCTGATGCCAATGAAAGGTACTTTAATCCAATGTGCAAAAAAGAAAAAAAAAAGAAAGAGAAAAAGAAAGAAAAAAGAAAAAAAAAGTGCAGCTGTCCTTTTCCTTGAAACACACAGGACCAACACTACTATTTACACACTCCAAAGGTTTTAAATTTCAGCATCTTCTTTAGGAGAAACTGAGTGCTGCTGCAGAGAGCCCAGAGCTTGATCATCCGTAAACCACAAAGACATCTCAAGAAGCATTTTGTTTCTTGTCCTAATTTTGATCTTAAATACAAAACCAATTTTGAAATCATTCAGGATCTGAAGACTTAGGAAATCTCAGGGTTTTTGTATCTGTGAAAACCTTGTCTCAGAGATTTTTCTCCTTTTCTCACTACGGGTTCACTCCACAGACACCCACAGGTAGAGTGGCCACACTGGACAAAAGAGGAACTCAGTCTCAGCACTACCAGCCCCCCGGTGGTCTCACTCACCCTGAGGTACACACGGCCTGCAGCATTTGGGGTGGGTACAGGGGCCATCACAATGGATGAAGAAACACTTCAACAAAGCAACCATTATTGTCCACAGAAACAGTAAAAACAATGATATGTCGGTATTTTTTAAAAAAATCAACAAACCAAATATAAAACTAACACCATTCCGTGTTTCCAAACTTGGTTTTGTACTCATACAGTGTTCTGGATCAGCATGTGCCAACGTTTTCTGCATCAACATGAAGTTCTTGTATCCAGTTATTAAAACTGCTGTTTGGACCGCAAGTCACATACATTGGGACGATTAGGAAACCAATTTATCCAAGTACTCTGCAGTGCACTCACCACCTTGGCAAGTGTAGAGAAATGAAGAATGGAACAGAAGCCGCTCACTTTGAACGGGACAAGGGGGTTTTCAAATTAAAACCACAAAGAAGGGCAGGGGAGCTTACTGGGAACATGAATACTAGACACCACACACATACACACAAAAAAAAACCCAAAAAAATAAAAAAATAAACTGTTTGGTCAGGACGCAGGAACGTTAACTGCCTTGAGAAATTTGAAAATCACCTAACTGGAGTGAGCACTGCCTTGGGTCCAGCCAGCACAACACTTTTAAGTTGCCACAAAAGCAGTCAAAGGTGTTCCGGTGACCATGATCCATGCCACCTCGGCGTCAACCTCCCAGGCCAAGTGTTTCTGACCCATCATCCCCTCTAGCTACAGGCGATTGTCTCCAGTTGCTGCTCGGCCTCGGCGGCCATGGCTGCCGCCTGCAACTGTTCTGTCTCGCTCTGGATGGCACTGGGGGTGACCTGTTTCCTCTCACTGTGCATATTGTTCTCATGCCTCTTCAGATCCGAGGCCTTGGCAAACGCCTTGGTGCAGGAGCCACACACAAAAGGCTTCTCCCCTCTGTGTCTCCTCTCGTGGTCCTTGAGGTGAGACTTGTGTTTGAAGGCCTTGTCACACATGTGACACGCGAACGGCCTCTCGTTGCTGTGAACCCGCTCGTGTTTCTTTAGGTCCGGGGCCCGGATGAAGGACTTCCCACACACCTCGCAGCTGTAGGGCTTATACCCGGTGTGGATTTTCAGGTGTTCTTTCAGGTGGGCCTGGGTGGTGAATCCTTTTGTACACATTTCGCAGACAAACGGCCTGTCTGCGGTGTGGAGCTTCTCATGCTTCCTCAACCTGCCTTCGTCAGAAAACGTCTTACCACAGGCTTGGCAGGCAATCTGCTCCCGATGGTGACCGTAAAGCAAATACTCAAACTTCATGTCACTGGCAGCCGTGGTCCAGCCCGGGGTCTGTTCGTCTTTCACTTCACCCATCCCGTCATTAAATGTTAAGGCCTGAGGGGTCTGAGACCCCAAATCTTTGGACTCAGGAGTCTCCATGGATTCTACTTCCTGGCCGTAGCAGTTCACTTTGCGGACTTCCTCGCTCCCCAGCTCTTTCAAAATCGCTTCCTGAACCCGGAGAGTAGTTGTGGGAGACTTGCCATCCTCCTGACTGGGGGGTGTGCCCTCTACGGTGTCATCGGAAGGGCTGTCATCCTGATCCCCGATTTCTTCCACGTCATCATCCTGGGCGTCAGCGGCATCTCCGATGGGGCGGTTTAATTTGAGGCAGTACTTACTCTTGGACTGGCCGTTACTCTCATCAGGACTAGACACGTCCCGCTTCTGAGAACAGAGTTTATCCAAAAACCGGATACCCAGTATCTGACCTGACGACATCATCAAGTTAACATCCTCCTTTTTCACGGAAATCTTGGCTGTGTACATGTAGTTCAGGACCTCTTCAAATATGTCGGAGCGGAGGAAATCTATCTCTATGACCGAGGAACTATCCACCTCCAGCTTCTTGAAAAGCTTCTTAAAGTAGGTGCTGCAGGCAGCGAGAACACACCGATGGGCTCTGAACTTTACATCTTCAACCACGATGGCGATATCACAAAATTCTCCTTCCAGGCGCTGTTCATTCAGCGTTTTCAGGAACAGTGTTTTATGATCGTCGTCATTATACTTTATGGTTTCAGACATACTGATGAAAAACTCCTGCAAAAAAATTTTGTTTGAGGAGTTTAATTATTGTGTGGTACTCCCCTCCAACCCCTGCCCAAAAGAAAAATCAGTCATACTGTGAATATCTGGAACCTAACAATTTAGAAAATCAGTGCTGGTTTTTTTTTTGTTTTGTTTTGTTTTTTGTTTTTTTGTTTTTTGAAATAGGGTTTCTCGGTGTAGTTTTGGTGTCTGTCCTGGATCTCACTTGGTAGACCAGGCTGGCCTCGAACTCACAGACATCTGCCTGGCTCTGCCTCCCGAGTGCTGGGATTAAAGGCACATGCCACCATTGCCTGGAATATCAGTATTAATAACAATCCAAAAACAGTTAGAAAAGAATGACCCCAGACAAGGGATTTCCATATTGCTATTTTGAAGTACTTTCAGTTTACTAACAGCTTCCTAGTTATAATAACAATGGCAGCTTTTGACAAAATACAGGCATTATTCTATATGCTTTAGATGTCTCAATACACTTAATTACAAATAGTTCTATGAAGTGGTGCTCTCTTCAGCTTATAAAAGGGGTTAGGAAGCTGCCCAACATCCTACAGCTATTTAAGATGTGGTAATCAAATCCAGGAAATGTGGTTTAAAAACTTACGCTGTCAGACTGCCAAGACAGTGGAAAGACTTATAAACAGCCTGACCTCGAAGTCTAAGTTACAAGCTTGAGACAAGAATCCTCAAGTCCTGGAGCCGCAGACCTCAGTGGGTAAAAGCACTTGCACAAGTGTACGGGGGCTGTATCCCCAAGCCAGGGTAAATGCAGGTGGGCACATGTCTGTCACCTCTAATTTTGAGATGGTACAAAGGCATTCTGGAGTGAAGCCGGCTAGCTCTAATAGCTGAACAGTGAACTCCAGGTTGAACTGAGAGGTCCTGCCTCAGTGAGCAGTGGAGAGGAATCAAGGAAGGAAGACTCCCACCCTGTTGGCCTCACTCGGGTCTCCAGAGGAATGGCCATACCCATGTACACGTACTCACACACATGCAGACATGAATACAGACACCACAAATACAGAAGGACAAAAAAGAATCCTCAAGTCCTATCTGTACGGAGGACCTGGGGAAATGACATCAGGGCAGGGCATTACACTTTCTTGAGAGGAGAGACAAACACCACTGAAGAACTAGAGAGGGCATCACAGCCACCATAGTCTGCACGGTCTTCGAGTCTCTCCACAGCAGTTTCGGGCCACTCCTGGATGAGTGTCAAGGTTTAATCTGACTCCAAAAGACATCTGGAAAGAGACTGGTGAGTGGCTTCACGCCACAGGATGACAATCTTCCAGCCTTCCAGTTAAAAGTCTCACCAACAACAGGTGTACAGGTTGAATATCCTTTCTCTGAAATGTTTGGGACCAGAAGTGTTTCAAGTTTTAGGTTTTTTCAGACTTTGCAATACATGTAACATGAGATAAATTGGGGATGGTAGTCCAAGCCTACATATAAAACTAATTGGTATTTTATACATACCTTACACACATAACATGAAGATAATTTATATAGTATTTCAAATAATATTTTATTTCTGGTTTCTTTTTTTCTGTGTGTGTTTTTTTCTTTTTGGTTTCAAGACAAGAGTTTCTCTGTGTAACAGCCCTGACTGTCCTGGAACTCAATCTGTAGACCAGGCTGGCCTCAAACTCAGAGATCCGCCTGCCTCTACCTCCTGAGTGCTGGGATTAAAGGCATGCGCCACTACCACCTGGCTCAAATAGTATTTTAAACAAAACTTCACAGTACAGAATTTTCATTTGTGGCTTCTTATCAGTCTTCAAAAAGTTTCAGATTTTTAATATTTTGGACTTACGGGGAGGGTCAACCTGTACTCAGTAAGTGTTGGAGTATTTTAAAAGCAAAGAATTTCAAAACCATCATGAAAGACCTACCATTGTGTTCAAGAATTGATCTAAAAACAATGTGTTTTATACTTTCTACCAAAAAAAAATTGTCTTACTTTTATTCAACCAAGCATAAGTCTGAGGAGAAGAGTTTTGTCCTCATGGAAATAGAATTGTAAATGTATAACGAGAATGTGTGTGTGTGTGTGTGTGTGTGTACACACTGTGGGGACCAGGGACTTGCTTAAATCAAGTAAATACACTACCCCTTATCTGATACCCTTAGACCGGAGATACTTATTTTAAATCAAATGCCAAATGATATTCTAAGCCTTAATATTCTAAGGCGTACTTACCATGAACAATTCAGGCTATTTTCTTAATGCCTTGAACTCCGAAATCTTCAGATCAGAGTAAGTCTGATCAGAGGCAAGCCAGATCTGCCGGGAAAAGATAAAGACTAAGTAAGACACTGTTCCACCTCTTGCATATGAACCCATTTTTCTGGGAAGAAACCGGGTGGGGGGGGGGCCGCGGCGCCAGCAGTAATCAGGCCTGGTTCTACACAAGGCCTACAAGTGTGGCAGGTGACACAGATTCTGAAAACCTCACTGTGTGTTCCTTAGCCCCCACCATTTCCTGTTGGGCACACAGTTCTCCACATCTCCCATTAGGATCTATAAACGTCTAAATATAGGAAGGGCTGTAGGAGACACACACCCAGCAGTTAGGGGAAGGGGTAAGTATGCTACTTTGTGCATACAAGGACAAACTGTCCGAAAGACTGCGGTGGTGGAGAAAGCCCACCCTTTCCCCTCTATCCCTCCCTATTGGAAGGTTCAAAGAATTTTCCTTGATGCTTAACTCTCATCTAAAGAGATCCCGCTACTGCCTGCAGACCAATAAAGAACAAAAACATCCTCTACTGCCCACTAATCCCACAAATACAGAAGTCTGTAGAAGCAGGTGGCTGTCCAGTCCTACACAAAGACTTGGCGCCAGACTCCACCAAAAGACCCGAAACAAGTTCCTGCAATAGGGACCACAGAGCTCTGAACTAGCAGGCTTTCTCATCTGTACTATGTGAGGGCTGGTAAGATGGGATTTCTAAGGATGCTCCATTCTTCATCTCAGCCTTCCTGTATTCCAGATGCAGCCTGGGCCTGCAGTCGGGCTGAGGGAGGGAACTCCCTTCAGAATCTCTAGTGACAATTCTGCTGTCACTAACTGTGGAATCAAAGGGGCACGGCACTTGGGGAAGAGTGGCCCTACAGTAGCCATGGCAACATATCAGCGTGCAGCTCCTCATTTCTGGTTAGTGTGTATTCTTTTTCAAAGGAGGTCACGGGCCAATCGGCTCGGTTTTTTTTCCCCTATAGAGATGTTCCCATTGCTAAGTTCAAAAGAGTCAAACCGGAAGATAGCCATTGCCAGTATGTGTGTAAGTAGGTGTGGGACAAGACACGGTCCAACACCTACAACACCATAAAGCAGCTCCTTGCTAGCAAGCAGTTCTCCAAATCGCGGGAGCGCTAAGGCTCCCTCACCGAGCAGGGAGCCAGGCTTTCCCAAAGCAAACTTACATAAGCAGCCGCAGCCGCCTCCTTATTCCGGAGCAGCTGCGACAATGGCGGCCACACCACTTCCCTGTTGCGACCGCACAACTTGAGAGTGGGGAAGACTGGGCCGGGCACCGGACCTGGGGCGCAGCCCGCGCGTGGGTAGCCCACGCTCGCATGCCCCAGCCCGTGAGCCGCCGAGTGCAGCGAGCCCTGAGCATTCTTTCCCCCCAAACAAAAGCAAGCTCCCCTGCGCGGCCGCGGTGGCGCCTGCCAGCGACCGGCCACCTTCCCTTCCGTGGTCCGCCACTTCTCCAGGTGGCGGCGCGGGAGCGAGGCTCCTCCTTGGCCCGCAGCAGCCCCGGCGGCGCGACGAGCACGG